GTATCCCTTACCTAAGAAACCCCATGAAATTCAAAGTCAACAGGTGACTTGAAAGCACACGCCTATACCACGGTAGATATTATTTTAGTAATTGTGAGGTTGTGACTTGCGAATCTACCCCTGCAAAGCAGGACCAGGGGCTTCCAGAAAGTAGGAACACAGTTAGGGCAAGATCCAAAGTTCCAGGAAGCAGACCAATAGTTAAACATTCCAGCTAGGCTTCAATGAAGAACTGATGCCACCCAACTGAGGAGATCTAATAGGTTGGCCTAGAGGAGGGCCAACAGGTGAAAGCACTTGGGAAAGTGGCATAAACTACCAGCTGGAGCTGGTAGTTTGCTGGGAGCAATGTTTGTGAAACTGCTACAGTTTGGATTTCTGTTGGTGAAGTCTTGGATGGAACTTTGGAGTTGGTGAGTGAACTACGACTTGAATTGGTGAGATGGATTGACTTGACCTTTGGAAAGAACTCTGGACTTTTTGTATGCTTTGCCCTTGTTGGACTGCTTGCTGTGTATGACTACGGATTGCCTTTTGACTCTGAGATAGTGAGCAGCTGAGTTAACATACATTCTGTGTTAGTTCCTTGCCAGGGGGCCCCATTGCAAGGGATCTCTTGGAATCCTTTAGGGTGGATTACAGTTAAAGTGAAAAAGTAAGTTTTTTTGGGGGGGGGAGGTGCCATCATGAGGCATACTAACAATAATGGAGCTCTGTAATCATACTTACATCTGGTGTTGTCTTTTTAGTTTGCAGTGTGAATATGCAGCATAATATAAAACAGATGTTCATTCTTTCTAACAAATGAATTTCTATGATTCATTTGCATTTGAATGGCCTTTGATCATCATCCCATATATAAGCAGGCTTTCAGTTTCTGCTGCCAGTTATTTTTTTAAATATCTGTTCCATTATTTTGTTATGCTTAATAGTCTCCTCTTTTGCCTTCTACCTACCGCATAATAAAATCATTAGTTGATTGTCAGCTTAATTTTTCTGAGTTTGAACAGCTTGTTAAATTCAAATGTAGAAAAATGAAGGGGTCCAACAGAAGCCAGAAAGGAAGAGCTGCTAGGTCTAGGAGTGGCAGAATTACTAGGATTTAGAGTTGGAAGCAGGCTGGAAAATATCTGGTAAAAACAATGCAACTTTATGGAACTTGGTAATAATTGCTAACCCTATTTTTTCCAAATAAAAACTTTAGATTTTTGGGATTTTAATCCTTTGAGCACTGGTACTTCTTGTTCTTACCATCTGTTGCTTTTCAATCTAATTAGAGATGTGTTTTCAGTCTTGTTGGGTTTTTTTCATAAATAAACCATTTATATTTTAATGTTCTTGTACAAGATGCTAAATCTCTGAGCATAACTTAATACAGTATTTTGTTAAGAGTACTCCAACCCCAGAGAAGTTGATGCAATTTGCTGTCCACATGATACCAAAAAGATTATTGCTACTGATGCTATGCCCAGAATTTGGGGAGAGAACATGACAAGAAGGAAATCTCAATGCCTCTCAAACAAGCAATCACTTGTTTAGAAGTGAAAATTCCAGCATTTGTTGTAGACTTACAGCTTCCAAGCTGGTCTGTTGATATATCCATATGCAGATGGACCCTGCCTTTTTGATCCCCTAAACCAGGGGTTTGTCAGGTATTTCTTCAACCTGAAGCATAGTTTCTGTTCAAACCTCAAAGCAATATTAAAGTACTGTCTATAGTATGAGCAATACTTTCAATAAACAGCAGACGCATGAGCTTCTTTCCACAGGAAGGCTTTATCTTTTGTTGCAGCTATTTACAGTATTCACAGCTCTCTCCAGAACCCTCCAATTCACCATACATCACCTAACACCAACTTATTCTGTTGGTGTTCTTATTTACACTTCTATGATGTAACGTTCCATTCATGCTTTTTTTATCTTAGAGACCTGATGCAAACCTAACTTCAGGGTTTCATTATCCTCATACTTAATCCCTGTAAATGTGACTCTGCACTTACAATACTCAAAGTAACCCAGTATTTTATTTTCAGAATAGGTTAGTATATTTTAAAAATCCAATAGGGTCATAGAATCATAAAATAATAGAGTTGGAAGAGACTGGCCCTCAAGCTTTTTAAACAGAGGGCCAGTTCACAGTTCCTAAGTTGGGAGGCCAGACTATAGTTAGAAAAAACCTGAACAAATTCCTATGCACACTTCACATATCTTATTTTTAATGCAAGAACATGAAAAAATACAATATTTAAAATGAAGAACAATTTTAACCAACATAAACTTACCAGCATTTCATTTGGAAGTGTGGGCCTGCTTTTGGCTGATGGGATAATCAAGTTAATTGTTGTTATTGCGTGCCTTCGAGTTGTTTCAGACTGAGGGCAATCCTAAGTCTAATCTTTAGTGCAGGGTTCAGATAAATGACCCAGGCCTTAGTTTGGGGACACCTGCACTAAAGTCTTTGGTTTCCCACTCTCATCCCACCCACCCACCCCCCTTTTTTGTGTAAAAGCTTTGTGGCATAGAAATGGACAAAAGGTCTTAGGCTATTAACACATCGACTTCAGGATTTCCCTGCCCGCCTAGGAACAGCTTTCGAGGTTATCAGGCAAGCATCTTCCTCAGATACTGTTGACAGGTTGATTATGGAGTGGGGCTCCTGTAACTTTAACTATTTCAAGATTATGGATCAGAAAGAGTTAACAAGGGACTTCATCCTACAAGGGTAGGGAGATTGTAGTTTTGCCATGGTGCTTTGGGACACCTCGTTGTGAAAGTAAACAAATGTCTATCCTACCACCATCACGTTTTCCACCGTTCCTCTTTCTTAGAAAGTATCCATTTGCTGTGCCATCACACAGGAGAGATATCTGTCCTCTTACTGTCCCCTCCCCCATTTTACTGTTACTGTTCCCCCCCCCCCCCATCAACAAAAAATACTATTTTCATTTTTGGAACACAAGCTTCATTGTGACACCTTTACTGTGAAAAAGGAAAGTAAGAACAGTGAATTAACATATTTGCAAAATTGCTCAGATGAGAAAATGGAAAGAACATAATAAATTATTGATACTTCTTCTGTGATGCCCAAATGGTAATGGCAGGCAAAGGTGGCATTACTCGTCATCTCTGCTCCATCAACATAACCTCATTATATTGATTACAAGCGGACAAGTGGGATTTCCATCCCACTTGATATTTGCCAATTTTACCAGTCTCTGGGAGAAAACAAAAATGAAATTGCTTGGCTTTCAAGTTCTGAATGGTTGGTTAAATGAACACTTTAAAAACAGGCACTGACTTGAAACCCATGGAGTGACCATGCATCATCTGACAGGCTCTGTGAGTGGCCATTTCTTAAGTGTTCAGAAACATGACAAAAAATGTGTGTGGTGAAGTTGAAAGTTTCATCAGGTGGAAAAAAAGCATGTCTCCTCCTAACATCTCATAACCCATGTTTTAGCTACTGCAGCCTCTGCCCTACAGCTATTTATTGGCTGTCAAAGAATCATAGAATTAGAAAAGACCATAAGCAACAACCAGCCCACTGCCACCCTGCAGGAATACATAATCAAAGCGAAGTTTTCAATTTATGTCAACTCTATTACATTATTTTCTTGCAAAATTTGTTCAAAGGGAGTTGTCTTTGCCTTCCTCTGAGACTGCAAGAATGTGGCTTCCCTGATCATTATACACACCCAGGCAAGCCACATTCTGTGGAATGAATATATATATATATATATATATATATATATATATATATATATATATATCCACAGCAAGCTAGGATCTAAAGCTGGAAAAACAGATTTCCTTGCTAGCAATCATGCCAGACAACCAGCTTTCTGAACCTTTCTATAATCAAATGCTCCAGTTGCTGATTGCTCTATTGCCTCCATGAAATATATACTTAATTTATCTTCTGCAGTTTTGAAATGGGGTAGTTACCAACTTAAAACGTTTTTGGAACAGAAGATGCTAGGAATCTGGCTGATGAACTTTGTGAACATTCAGGGTGAAGTTAGGACACTGGGGTTACATCTCTCTACTGTATCAAAAATATAATACGAGAAGAATCACATGATTTCAGACTGTTGCCAAGCAGATTTACACTGCACACGTATGGAAATTGGATGGTACTTTAAGTGACATGCCTCCATCCTATGGAATCTTGATAATTTGGCAAAGAGACTTTGAATCACTCATGACTCTACATCTCTCAAGACTCCATAGGATGGAGCCATGACATTTAATGTATAAATAAAAATGGGATCAAACTGCTATAATTGTGCAGTGTGGGTGCAATCTCAGTTCTGTTGCACTGCATTTTCCCTATAAGGTGGGACGATGCAGATGAAGGCAAGGGAAAATTTTCAGTGGCTTTCCTTGAAAGCTAAATTACACATTTGGAAGAACTGACATAATAATAGTATACCCTTGATTGTGTATGAACAATGAATAATTCCACCATTACTTAAACATCACAACTGTATATAAATGACATGTTATTGTTTTATGTTAATGTCCGTTCAGGCGCAGTGGTGGGCAGCCCTGATATTACGTAACGAAGTCAAGGGGCCTTCCTAACCTTTGGATATCACTGGTTTTCTCCAAAAACTTCCTTGAAAAAGAAGGTTTTTAGGCTCTTCCTGAATGCCAACAAAGAGGGTGCAGATCCAATCTCCCCTGGGAGGGCATTCCAAAGAGTGGTGCCATGGATGCTTAAGGGCATCAGCATTTCCCAACTTGATCATAATGCTTAATTCTAGTTTCCCTGTCTCCCTCTTTTGCTCACTCTCCCCCTCTCTTGCTTGAAGAGAAAGATACAATACCAGGAATAAAAAAACTCCAGCAGTAAAGGGCATTTTGCCAGTATATGTCAGAGTGAAGTGGGGTCAACATCTGGAGGAAAAATCAACAGAATCCACATGATCTGTTTATGTAAAAGCAGCTCCAATGTCCAAGGCGGGACAAAAATATCAAGAGGAAGGGGGTGGGCTCCGTTTGCTTGCCTCCCTCTAATTGCTTTGTCATGAGTTAGTGTTTTCTTTTGCTCTGATCTCCTCATCTCCCTGTGTGTTGGTTTTTTTTTGCTCCTAGATTTCTAAATAATGTATCTGAAGTTTAGTAATGAAAGTTTAGTAATGAATCATCTTGGTTTCTGCCGTGAAGGATGGCTTTTTTCATCCTGAAGAGGACTGCCTCCTGCTCATGAAACTTATATAACAGTTACAATAGGTGACTTAGTAATTTATTAGCTAGGTCTTTGGCTTTTAATCAAAAAGCGTGTTGTTTAAGTTCCTTTACACTCTGCACAATTCAAGGCTGAAGTGGCAATAACAACTCTAGTCCAAGATGCCAAACTTTGATGAGATTTTAGAGCATATAGGGGAGTTTGATCTGTTCCAGAAAAGAACATTTCTCCTCATTTCCCTCCTCTCAGCTGCCTCTGCTCCAGTTTATATTGGAGTTGTTTTTCTAGGCTTTATACCAGAGCACCGTTGTCTGAATCCTGGAGTAGCTGAGTTAAGACGCAGGTGTGGCTGGACTCTTGAAGAGGAATTGAATTATACTGTTCCAAAGGGAGAAGCTTTCATACAGCAATGCATGAGATACGATGTGGATTGGAATGCAACTGAACTAAGCTGTACAGACCCATTGGGAAACTTTAGCCATCTGAATGGCAGCATCCCTCTCACCACTTGCCAAGAAGGTTGGCTATACGATTCTTCAATACAGTCCATTGTGAGTGAGGTAAGTAAGGTTACAGATACGTATCTCCTTAATTTTTGCATGTGTTTATTATACTGAACAGCTTAGAACGGGGGAAAGAAACTCAAACTTTGGACTGCCCAGAATCCCCAATCATTATGTAGTGGTTCAGCTAGTACTACAGATAAGAGAATCTGTGCCTGGTGAGTATACTCTAAAAGCAGAAGGGCCAGGACAGAGAAACAACTCACCAGGTTGAAGACAAGCCACACAGATTTATTACCATTTAACCCCAAAAAATCCAAGAAATTTGCTTCAAAGTGTACAAGGATAAACATGCAGAAAAACACAAGGCATCTTATATAGTTCTGACAGTCATTCAAGCTTCCCACTCCCTCCTCTGATTGTCTAGAAAAGAGGCTAGCTAGGATCCATGCCAGGATTGGCCAAAGTTTCGCTGATGTCATGGATTTCAGGTGGGGATTTCCTTGGTGGGATAATAATGGCTAAGGATTGGTTGGGCAAGGGACCAATCAACTGTTGGGACACCCCCTGGGAGGGCGCAAACTGGGAGATAATAATGCTAGTAATATATTGATGAGCTTTCGATTAGATCAACTGTCCGGTTCTCTGCCAACCAATGATACAGGACTCAGGAAACAAAGGTGCCAATCCTGAGCAATCAAGAGCTGGGCTGTCAAATAAGAGTTAACAAATGTACACCATTTTAAGTCTCTGTTTCCATTGGGGTAACAGGCTCTCAGCTTCGGGGGAATAATTTAGGCATTCCTGAGCTAATCTGGTCAGCATGGGAGTTCATCTATCTTTACATATAAACAATGAATCTGATTATTATCTGTCCTGGGAAACAGCCAAAGGGATTTGCCCAACCTTTTACAATCCTGGGAGATGATCTGAACAGTTACAAAGAGGCGTTTTTTTCTAAGTTACATTTTAATACATTTCTAAGCAGTAGTTTATATATATTTCATATATAAGAAATAGATACAATACACAGTTGAAAGATATACGTTACACAAAATCATACAGTTGATACAGTTTATTGAAGAATTGGATATTATAAAGTTTAGGGGTTTACAGCTGCTGATGGTTCGATCTCAATTTTCTGATGTTTTGAACTTGTGCATTGTTGCTTCAATGACATTCATTAATGCTTTGACTGCAAGGCATGTGGCATTGCATAGTTTTGGCTAGTTGATGTTTCTCAACATAATAGGTTTGGGAGAATATGGACAATGGATGAGATTTGCAGTACCTACAACTGTGACTTCCACAGACCACTGAGAGCACTCCTGACAGATGGCCATTTACCTTCTGCCTAATAATAATAGAACCCTAGGATAGGAAGACACCTCCAAGGGCCATCCAGTCCAGCACCATCTGCCATAACAGAAAAGCACACTCAAAGCACTCCTGACAGATGGCAATTCAGCCTCTGCTTAATAATAATAATAATAAAATCCTTGGGTAGGAGGAGACCTCCAGGGGCCATCCAGTCCAGCCCCTTCTGCCATAAGGGAAAAGCACACTCAAAGCACTCCTGACAAATGGCCATTCAGCTTCTGCTTAATAATAGAATCCTAGGGTAGGAAGACACTGCTAAGGGCCATCCTGTCCACTTGTCCAGCACTGATATAGCCTTGCTAAATTTTTTGCATAAATAAAAAATGCTGCCTCTTGTGTCTTTGCCTAATTGAAGAATGCGAACATTTATTTCTTTTAGTAATACTTGGACTTTTCCAAGTTCTATACTCAAGTGAATTGATACATTTTGATAGTTTTGATCTGAACATAATATTCTATTCCTAACCAACTATGTGCTGTCACCTATAACTCTTTTTTTAAAAGAAATGGTACCTTTTAGAAACAAACTTCATATATATCTTATGCACATCCCCTTTGGGTAATTTTATGTGGTTTTAAAATATGTTTGTGCATGAAACCATAGCATCACTATCTCAACATCCTATGAGGACAATCTGAATTTTGGGATATTCTAGATTTTGAAATTTTGGGTAGGGATGCCAAACTTGTACAACTCCTTAAAAATTAGGCATGGAAAAGGAATTTGTCAGACTTTCTGTGTGCAGAAATTGTTCATTTTTCTATTTAGTATGGGAATGGATTTCAGGTGCATTACAGCATTCTCTATAACATGGATGACTCAATTTGCTAATGATGAACATTTATCATTATTTTCTTTCTAATTGTGTCTCTACAGTTTGACTTGGTGTGTAAATACTCCTGGAAGCTAGATGTGTTTCAGGCATGTGTGAATGTTGGATTTTGCCTTGGGTCTATATATGTTGGCTACGTAGCAGACAGGTAAGTAGAGAAGGATGGAATCAGTACAAGATCAAATTTGCTTAAATTGTCTATGTTGGAATTTAGAGAAGGATAAAAGATACTCTGGCCAAGTAGCTCCTTTTTAAAAAGTGTTTTTTAAAAATGTCTAACCCACTTTTCTTCTCACCTGCTTTCCAGTTAGATGTTATTTTTTAGCCACATTGGTATTGAAGGGATCATGAAGGGGTGTGGAGAAACACATGCTTTCAATATCAGGTTACACCTCTCAACAAAAGATTTTCCCAGGCTCAGCCAGGCCTTCAAATGCTAATGAAGGTGGTCAGTTGAAACATTCACACCTAGCCCCAGCAGAGAAAAGCTCTGTGCCCCACCCCAGCCATTCCACAGATATATAAACCCATTGTCCTAATTCCAACAGACCTCTGAGGATGCTTGCCATAGATGCAGGCAAAACGTCAGGAGAAATGTCTCTAGAACATGGCCCTATAGCCTGAAAAAACCCACAAGAACCTAGTTACACTAGTGTGTTTGCAGAAAAATGCAATAAACCTCAAGCTGGGAACAAATGAGATTCTACTTTAGCTGATTCTATTTTAGTTGTGTTTGCATCCTTACAGTAGGCAATATATACAGCTGCTGCCTCTAGAATCCCATACTGATCATGTATAAAGAGAAAAAACAGTGAGAAAACAAGAGTGTAGATAAAATCGTATCTCCAGCTACATTCAGTGTATTTAAAAATGAAAAGCATAGGGAAAATTGGTGAAACACATTAAACCATTCTTCTTTTTGGTGGTGCAGGAACTTATCTGAATTATTTTCATGTTACTTCTGCCTCTAATACAAAGTTTATACAGAAAAAATGCCCAGGGACTCATTTGTTTTATTAACTGGGGTATAGCTGTAGTTTTGTGATGTTATCAAGTTTTCCTGACTGATCATAACCTATGTCAGCAATTGCTGGGAAAATTGATTTCATGCATTCTCAGTGTATTTTTTAAAAGATAACACTGCCAGTTCTCTAATGTTTTCAGAGAACTGGTAATTTCCAAGATTTAGAAACCCGGGCTTGTGTATTTTTAACTCCCAATATAAGAGAACACTTTGCTGCTTTTGAAAACAGGGTAGCAGAATCTAATAATTCAGGAACATGGGATCATAGAATTGGAAGCGACCTCATGGGAATCTGGTCCAACCCCCTGCCAAGAAGAAAAATGGCATTCAACCTCCCCCCCCCCGCCCCCCCCCCCCCCCCCGCCCCCAAACCTCCCCCCCCCCCCCCCCCCAAAACGAAATCCTAGCTACGGGCCTGGCTCACAATCACCCCCCCCCCCCCCCCCGCCCCAAAGCATCCCTGACAGATGGCCATCCAGCCTCTGTTTAAAAGCCTCCAAAGAAGGAGCCTCCACCACACTCCAGGGCAGAGAGTTCCACTGCTGAACAGCTCTCACAGTCAGGAAATTCTTCCTAATGTTCAGGTGGAATCTCCTTTCCTGTAGTTTGAAGCCATTGTTCCGCGTCCTAGTCTCCAGGGCAGCAGAAAACAAGCTTGCTCCCTCCTCCCTATGACTTCCCCTCACATATTTATACATGGCCTTCTCTTCTCATCCTTCACATCTTCATAAGAGTCCACAGAAAGAAATGCATTCAGGCTTCACAAAATTATATTAAATGACTTTTGCGTGATTTTTACGTATATATTTTCAGAATGCTATCTTTTTAATTTGTCATTTCCCACGTTGTAGGTTTGGCCGTAAGACAAGCATCTTGATTACCACCCTGGTAACTTCTATCACAGGAGTCTTGGTGGCTGTAGCACCAAACTACATATGGACTGTCATATTCCGCTTCATGCAAGGACTCGTTGGCAAGGGCAGCTGGACAGCAGGCTACATCCTTAGTATGTCTGGCTCTTTCCCTGAAGATGATATTGCTGAAGATGAAAGAATGTGATGTGGTGCCCCATTAGTGGATGAACACTCTAGGGATGCTAGGGAAGTGATAGTTCATTATCAGAGAATTCCACAGGGTCAGTCCTACCATTAGGCAAGATGGGGGGAGGGGGCAGTTATGCCTGGCAACAGAGTTGGATGTTGTGGGAGAGCAGCAATTTTTTAGAATTTTTTCCTGATTTCTAAAATAGTTTTACTGTGAGGAAGAGAGATGAGGCGATGCTTTTCTGGAATTTTTCTGCCTCTTGTGCTCAAATAGCTTGGCTACTTGTGTCCCTTGACCTAAGGACAAGGGAGGGAGGTGGCTATTTTTTTTTCCTTCTTTCAGGCAGCAAATTACCATGGGTTGCTTCTCCAGTTGCAGGTTGTATAAGGAAGCCATCCTTGCATGCACCTTTTTTTTGTTGTGCTCAAGCCTCTGGTCATATTGGATTCCCAACTTGTTGAAGTGCCACAAACAGTAGCTATCAAATTAAAAGAAAAGATAAAGCTGCCAACAAACTAAATATTGTGCTCCCCTCAATACGAAAACAATTTTCCACCTGTAAAAAGCAAGCTGGGAGAGCAACACAATGAGAAAGCAGAGTTACACTGCCTGCCTGAAATTATGGTTTCACATAACAGCAGCATAATTGGACGTCAGTGGCTGCAAATAGCTATGTGTCACCATGATGGTGAGCTCCTACTTTTCTGTATTGTGGAAACAGTGCAGGTTAATGTTCCAAAATACAACTTCAAGGAACTGTAAAGCCCAGCATGCTCAGCATCAAATTGTAAAAGCAATGAGATCAAACCTGAGATTGAACTGTATTCCATCACTTCGGTATGACTATATTAATGTGGAAAAAATTCCTTCATTTTTGCAGTCACAGAAATTGTTGGTGCAAGCTACCGGAGGACTGTGGCCATTCTCTCTCAAACTGCATTTGCTGTTGGTCTCCTGATCCTCGATGCTTTGGCTTATGCAATTCCCCATTGGCGGTGGCTTCAACTTGCCGTTACTCTGCCAACCTTTCTGCTTTTGTTCTATTACTGGTAAGATGGCCTTAAGCTCCATTCCCCTATTTCTATGACAGTCTTTCCTGAAAGGAATTTGCCTACATTCTGCAGCCAAGAAACTGAATCTCAGATCAAGCTGTGAAATGGTGGGCCTACACAGCAAAAAAAAAAAGGAGTCATGGATCTCAGTTGCTTGAAAGCAACATGAACAGACAGCCAACCTGTTTTACCTGTTTTTTGTTCCTGTCTGGGGCATACTCTGGAACCTACTGGAGATCTTCTAGAAGTCCTAACGGATGACATCATTGCTGTCCTTCTAGCTACATTTCTGCTTTGTACCTTCATGTCATATCTGATTTTTGGGGACCTTAAGGTGGACCTTAATTGTGGAAATACTATTTAGACAATTTGCTATGATTGTCTTCTCTTGAGACTCAAAGAGTGTGAATTCCCAAGTTCATCTAGGTTTTCTTGGCTAAGCAGGAATTAAAACTCTGGTCACCCTGAATTCTAGCCCAATACTCAGACCATTATGCCACACTGTCTTTTCCTCTGTTGAAGAGGAAAAGACAGTGGCAGTATTCAGGGAAAGTTTGTCACCATGCAGGGTTGGCTGAGGATTACACAAGTCATTAAGAGGATACCATGCCTCAGGGAACAGATCCAATACTAACAGCCATCATAATAGTGGTAATATTCTAAATTTAAGTCAGCAGCCAGGGAGTAGTCTAGGTTTAATTCAGATGAGGGCTTTCAACTTCAAATCAACTCTGTATATGAACTAACATAGTAAGTTGGGGTTATCTGCATGTCTCAGAATAAGATTGCCTGCCCCTAATAAAGGATGATGGCAAAGTAATCTCAATTATAGTTCTGTTGTGATGCACTATTGGAGGTTGGCAGTGTTTTTTAAGACAAATGGAATAAATTGAGAAAGCTGAAAAATACAAGCACATCTGTATTACCAGCTGCTATGATGATTTTGCCCTGTGAGTCTCTCTTCTACAGACTTCTCCTCTGGAATAGGACCCTTTGCAATTCTACTGCCTTGTTTCCTGTAGGTGCCTTCCTGAATCTCCTAGATGGCTGCTTTCTCGAGGACAGAATGGCAAAGCTATGGAAATTGTGGGTGATATTGCCAAAACGAACAGGAAACCGTTACCTCCCGATTTTGAGGTGAATGTCAAATGTTACATATATAATGAATAACATTCCTGATAGACTGTTATATGAATAGTATTTATGGTGGTATTTGCAGCAGTAGCAGCAGACTTGAGTCTAAAGGAATTACATCATTTGGGATAAGGAGTTGTTAGCTATTAAGACAGCCTTTGCAACATGAAGGTATTTGTTGGAAGTCACTATGGATGCAACAGAACTTCACAATGATGGCTGCAAGCTGGAATCTTTCCAGACAGCTCACCAACTGAATCGGCAACCAATACTAGTTCTTACCATTCTTAGACTGATTTAATTTAAACATCAAAACTGACTAGCCAATGTGGGATAGACTTCTGCATTGTAGCAATCTGCCAAGGTCCCTACCAATGAATGTTATGTACCAGTGACATAATAGTCAAGCTACAGAGCATTTTCTTCTATTTAAAACTTTCCACCTTATGATTCAGAATTTCTGATTTCCTTGAGTATGTGCAGACTCTGTCCATTATCTTTAGACCTGCTCAATCTGCCACCAAGCATAGGATCTACCTAGCAAGCCAGCAGGTTTGCTACAGTCTACCAATTCCCACAGAGTCTTGGAAAATTGTATGCCTAGATTTCATCACAGATTTTACACCATCTTAGTGGTTGCACACTGGTTCACAAAGTTGACTTACTTTATATGCTGGGGAAGGCATATAATGTTTTACGCCAAGGACACTGCAGGTCTGTTTCTCCAGAGCATTTTTCAATTACACGGCTGGCCAATGGCTCTCGTATTAGATCATGTCCTCCAATTCATAACCCAGTTCTGGCAGACACAGTTTTGCCTTCTGGATGACAAGATTTACATATCCTCAGCATTTCAAAGAAACAGAACATATCAATATCACACTGGAACAATAACAATTATTCTATGTGAACTACCAGCATGATACCTGGGCAGGATTGCTGCACATTTCTGAATTAGCTTACAACAATTCACAACATTAATCTGTGTCTTCCTTCAGGAATAGATTGTGTGGGCCAAGACACCCCCCCCCCCAAGTTGGGGACAATGTCTGCTTTTCCACTAAATATCTCTTTTTGTGTAGCCCCAGATAGAAACTAGGTTTGTAAGTCTATTTCTAATAACTGCCCAGATTAACCCTGTTACCTTTTGGCTCCAACTTCCTCTACCTCTACCCAGCTACCCGAGATTCCATTGGTCCTTCCTGGCTCTAACTACTTTGGCAAATCCTTTCCAGGATCCCAAAGCTCTTCTACCCTTTATCATAGTGGATGATAAAGAAGAATATGAGATGGCCGAGGTCATGGATGCTTTCCATCACTGTGGTCACCTATAGTACTTGGTGGATTGGGTTGGATGTGGGCTTGAGGAATGGTCTTGGCATGATGTCTTCAATGTCCCTTCTCCAGACTTGGTGCTAGAAATTCCACCAATGCTATCCAGTGAACCTGGGACCCCTCTGCTTTGTGGAGGGGAGCCATGGTGAGGGAAATGATGTCATCTCCCTCAGAAGATCTACCAGTGGATGAGTTAGAGAAGATCTTTGATTGTTTGCTGGATACTCCTTTGATTCAGCAGATTATGTCGACTTCGGAGAAGGAAGAAGAGTTGAAGGAGAGCGCCATGAAGTCTCTAAGAAAGACAGAGACTCTGCTGTGTGGCTCAAACCATTCCCTGCAGACAAAGCAAAGACTACAATCAAAATATCAGGAAGAGTGCAGCTGTGTAATTCTGAGGTTTTTTCATGGCTTCTGACCTTGGCACTCTGAATTCTTGTTTGATGTTGAGATCAGGGCACTTCTTTTCCTTGCCTGTAGATCTTGCTCACCACCCTCTGATTGTGGGTTTCAGGTGTAGAATTGTTCCACCAGTGGTGTCTATTCCATTTGTAAATAAAGATTGTTGGGTACAATCAATGGTAATAATAATAAAAATGCTGTTAATTGTTCAGTGGCATTGCATGTTAGTTTTCAAATATTGACAGATATCAGTGATAGATGCTGGTTATCAAACGTAAATACAAACATTAACATCTAATATTGTCAGATAACAGGTGACAAAGCCAGCCATATTCATGATTTTTTTTAAATGCCCTATGCTAATTTAATGTTTTCCATCTATAACAGCTGTAAAATGAGCCAAATACTTTGGTCTTAATTAATGTTAGAACAGTTCTCTTACAGAGTATCGATCTTGAAGAGGACAATGAAAAAGATACAAAACAGAGTCCTTCTGTGATGGATCTTGTGAGAACACCGCAGATGAGGAAATACACACTTATTTTAATGTATAACTGGTAAGAGACCTTTATTTTGGGGTTTTTTCCCCCTTGCAAGCCTTCTATACACCTGCCTTGCACATGTAAATACCTAGTTCAGTGATAAATGCTTCCCATGAAACCCTGGCATTTAAAGCTAAAGAAGGAAGAGAGCAAGAATGGGAAATTTCTTTAAGCACAAAGACCAAACAAATTTTGGAGAATTACTTCCGTATGGTCATTTTAGTAGTAAACAGGTCCAAAAACCTAGGCTAAAAATACTAGCATATACTAACATACAAGATTTAGGGAGGTATCTAAGCACTGGGAGAAAGTGATGTATTTCATATTATTGTCTCTAAAAACAAATGCCATTAAATTTGATCAATCTTTGTTAGGTGTCACTAGTAAAATTTGCTAATTAAAGTTATGACTACTGTATTCTGTACCAACTTAAGTCTCAGAATTATCATGAAACACAACCTCAAACCCTTTGAATTGTGGGGGCTTCTACATCTACCAAGCTGGCGTTCTCCAGATATTTTTAACAGTACTTCCCATTATTCCTGAAAATTGCACCTGTGCTGGGTGGGACTGCTGAGAGCTGTAAGCCTAAGTATGACAAGGCACTATGTTGGGGAAAGATGTGTTACACAGTCATGCACTTGCCTGTTTAACATTTTACCCACTTTTTCCAGCACAGAGTATGGTTCTATGTCTCCATTTGTTTCCCAAATGAAGGTTTTTGCCTTGGAAGATAATGACTGGTCCAACCACTCCTAAGAATAAATATACTGTAAGCTTTTCTTGCAATATTTTAGCATTGATTAAAAACACACATCTAGGTCTTAAAAGAAAACAAATACAGGGATTTAATTTTTTATTGCTATAAATCCATTTTTTCTAAACTTTTATGTACCTGCTTGAAAGGCAGTGAAATTATTTGAAAACCTAATGAATTATATGTTTAAAAATTGTCTTATCATCAAGTAACACATTTCTAGATAGTTAACTAATGTTGCTCTTTTCCCCCAGGTTCACAAGCGCCATAACATACCAAGGACTAATCATGCACGTGGGAATTTCTGGAGACAACGTCTACCTGGATTTTTTGTACTCCTCCATTGTTGAATTACCAGCAGCTGCTATCCTTGTACTCACAATAGAGCGAGTGGGTCGCCGCTATCCCTGGGCTATAGCCCATCTGATGGCAGGCATTGCTTGCCTCGTTACAGCTTTTGCCCCAGAAGGTAAGTTGAGCATATCTGTTGATATACATTTCAATTCCTTTGATTTAGGACAGAATGTGGAAAACTGTTTAGTAAGAAACAGTGTGTGCCTATTATAAGCAGCAATGGATAGTAGAAAATTTGGCATAAATATATATATGGATTGACTTGAGGTCCATCTACACTGTGGAATTAGTGCAGTTTGATATCACTTCAACTGCCATGGCTCAATGCTATGGAATCCTGGAATGTGTAGTTTTATGAGATACTAGCACTCTGTGGCAGAGAGGAATAAAAACCACGTGAAACGATATCTCCTATGATTCCATCAACATTGAATCATAACAGTTTAAGTAGTGTCAAATTGCATTCATTCTACTGTATATACTCACCCTCGGTTTGTGCCTCCCAGGCTAATGGGCAGATTTGAACTTCATTATTGTTTGGATCTCATACCTCTCCAAATGTTGTGATTCAGATCTTAGCAAAATCAAAATGCATTCTAAAACTGAGAGATGGCATTTGCAATCCAGAACCTGGAACGAGAGCTGCACCAGAGTTTGGAGATACCTAAAGCTGAATTTTGGGAGCTGGGATTTGGCTAGAGATGCAGCACCTTAAGGTGCCTTGGTACCCAAATTGATTTCTTGCAGACTAAAAAAGAATCAGTTTGTTTTCATTTAAAGGCAGCTGACAGTAGAGGGAACCAAAGTTCTTCTTCATGGTCTCTGTGAATGTACACCAGTGTGTTAACTGCACCTGCATAGTAAGTTCGGAACCTTCTAGAGCAGTGTTTCTTAACCTTCCTAATGCCACGACCCCTTAATACAGTTCTGCATGTTGTGGTGACCCGCAACCATAACATTATTTTTGTTTCTACTTCATAACTGTAATTTTGCTACTGTTATGAATCGTAATGTAAATATATGATATGCAGGATGTATTTTCATTCACGGGACCAAATTTGGCACAAATGCCAAATTTGTACCAAAATACCATATTCTCAAATTTGAATATTGATGTGGTTGGTGGGGATTGATTTTGTCATTTGGAAGTTGTAGTTGCTAGGATTTATAATTCACCTACAATCAAAGAGCATTCTGGACTCTACCAACGATGGAATTGAACCAAACTTGGCACATAGAACTCCAATGAGCAATAAAAAATACTGGAAGGGTTTGGTGGGCATTGATCTTTTGTTGTGGTGTTGCAGTTCACTTATATCCAGAGAGCACTGTGGAGTCAAACAATGATGGATCTGGACCAAACTTGGCATGAACACTCAATATGCCCAAATGTGAACACTGGTGGAGTTTGGGAGAACTAGACCTTGACATTTGGGACCTGTAGTTGCTGTGATTTATAGTTCACCTACAATCAAAGAGCATTCTGAACTTCACCAACAATAGAATTGGGGCAAATTTCCTACACAGAACCCCCATGACCAACAGAAACTACTGTGTTTTCTGATGGTCTTTGGTAATCCTTCTGACACCCCTTCGCAACTCCCTCAGGGGTCCAGATTGAGAAATGCTGTTCTAGAGCTATAAGGGATACTTATTTGGCAGTAGCCTCAACTACCATTCCAAGTGAATGTATTGAATGAAAGCTGCCATTGCCCGAGTTCTTTTCTCTATGCCATATCATTAGCAGAGAAAGAATCTTCACTCTTGTAGCTTTCCTAGTTTGGTAGCTTTGATAGTTTGTTCCTGTGTCTATCTTTGCATCTTGTTAGCCTGTTCCAGTGTATTTCTCCAAAATTCCAATCTGTTCGGATCCTGAGAAGTACGCTGCAGTGTCACTGACATTGTTTAAATGGTGTGTTGGCTGTAAGGCCAAGATGCCCAACAACTATTCCAGGTGCCTAGTCTGCCTTAGTGAGATGTACAGACTCTCAGCCTGTAAGATCTACCAGACCTCTACCCCAACAGGAGCAACAGGGAGAAACATCTCAAAGCTGCCCTCAAAGGACAGTCCTCTGGTGCTTCCATTTCTCCCTCTGTTGAAACCCCTCCTGTGCCTTCCACAAGATTTCACAAGCCCTTAAAGGAGAGGTGTGATCCTCTATTTATGGTGGTGGCTGCCCCTTCAACATCAGTACCCAAACACACTCACTCTAATGAGACCCAGAAAACCAAAAAGTGATAGAGACTTTTCTATGAAGAAATATAGTTTGGTTAGCTCCAATGGAGCTACCCACGTTTTCCTCCTCTTTTTGCCATGTGATGGCAGAAAGGGCAGTGGGCAATGTGCATTGCCACCCTTTCTGCCATGTGATGGGGGGGGGAGTATGTCAGGAGAACTGTAAAAATGTGCAAAATTTTATCTGTTCATTGTATGTATTTGGGTTATGTATGTATAAGTAAGTTTGTATCTTTAATTGCTGAAATGCTTGTGATGTGGTTTTGGTTAATTGGGTGCAGGTGGATCTAATTACTGTGGTTATAATGTGTTGCATCTGCCTGCAGCCAGCAGCAGCCTTCAGCAGCTTTCAGCGTCCCTCAGCGTTCTGCTATTGCTATAGCCTTGAGCTTTTGGAGAAGCTATGGCGTTTTGGAGTTTGGGACTCTAAATGTTTTGTTTAGGGTCTGATATCTGATGCAAGATGTTTGTTTTCTTACTTTTGATGTTTTCCACTATGAATTTATAATAAAGAAAGACTCTGCTAACAGAGTACACAGGGAGCCAAGAGCCGCCCCACACACCTCTCTTTCACTGGCAATTGGCTGTGCAATGGCACAGCCCAAAAGGGCCATGTGAAGAAGTCAAAATTCACAGACATAAATCAATAATTTGAAAGTGGAAAGTATGAAAATAAAAATTATGGAGTTCTTCACCCCCAAAGACACATTAGTCCCCTATGCAAATGTATATGCACAAACTTTTTTTAAATTCAGAAAGTTTAAAAACACATATTTGCTGAATGCTGCTTTCCTCAACACTCTCATAAAGACCCTTAAACCAAAAAAAAAAAAAAACCTGCTGCCGATGTAATGTTTAGTGGAAAAAGAATGGAAAGAAGGTACAAGAAGGAATGAGAGAAAGGAGCTTTGAAAGAAAAGGCAGAGAAAGAAAAGATAATATATATTATTGATATATTAATTGCCTTTCTACAAGGAAATGTTCTGGAGAATTAAGTATTGCTTACTTTTCAGATATGCATTGGTTAATGATCACTGCAGCTAGCCTGGGGAAACTGGGAATTACAATGGCTTTTGAAATGGTGTGTTTTGTAAATACTGAATTGTATCCCACATTTCTCAGGTAGGTGATCTTACCATACCAGGCAAGGTAACTTCTGAAACTGCTCTATCCCTGTGTGTGTGTGTGTGTGTGTGTGTGTGTGTGTAGGTTTTTACAATTATTAAATGTTTTCAATTACGGTAAGAACTCTTTGCCCCTCTAATGCAATTTGAATTCCATTATATGGTTAGTGTAGACTAACATAATCCAGATTGAACTGCACTGAACTAGATACACAAGTCTATACTGACATATAATCCAGTTCAATCTGCATTATAATGGCAGTGTAGATGGGGCCCTTATCTGCAGGTTCATTTTTGATATACTGTATTCGGTTTTCTGCTGTCAACCACAATCTGAAAAATATATTATATAGTCTCTCCTTTAGCCATGCTGTTTCCCTCTTTGATTTTAGTTACATCTGTTCAACTGGATTCCAAATTAATATTGATATAGGATTCAGTTATACCCCTCCCAAAATTTGCTATGAGCTGCACCTTCTCTGAAATCATCATCATCCCACCTTTTCCCCAGTTTGGGACTTAATGTGGTTACAACTGATTTTTAAAATACTTATTTTTAACATGATCTTTAAAATCCACCTTTTAAAGACCCTCCTGCACATCTCTAGTCTTTCAAAACCAGAAATTGATTTATGACCCCCTCCCTTCCTTCATTCCTTCCTTTCAGTGCTCAAATACCTGCAACTTGTAGGGGGTACAAAGAGTTGTTTAAATAAAGACATGGCTGTCTTTGGATACAATCTGATCTTTTCCTTATCCACAAAGGAATGTTACATATAGAAAGATATTTTTATATGTTGTGAAATATATTTGAAATGTAGGCATCGCTTCCTCCTCTACTGGAAATATACTGTTTCTAAGCCAAAAATGTTATACAAGCTCTACAATATGCATTACCTCACACACATATTATAGTTATACATGCATGTTCAGAACCTTTTAAAGTGACTCTTTTTTCCTTTTTGAAAATTAGAAACTTAGGAGTGATGGTCTGTTCCTCTTTGTGTGACTTGGGTGGAATAATATCCCCATTTGTTGTATACAGACTGGCAGAGATCTGGCATCAACTACCTCTTTTAGTCTTCAGTAAGTAATCTCTCTACTACAGGTTGCTGAAGCATTTTAATGTCAAACTATGTAATCCTAGGTTTGCTTACCTAAGAGTAAGTCCCCTTGGGCTCTAAGCAGATACATATAAGTTTGGATTGAATGTCTTGTTTTGTTTAAAATATTTAATTGTCTCCTTTGTGTTATTTATTGCTCTGGTTATTTTGTGTATTTTTTAAAAAAACCCAACTGTTATTTTCACAATTATACATACTGTAAGTGGGTTTCTTTTTCATTCTGAAACATCTTAAAACATAATAGCCCCCTTCACTTCCATTCTTTAAAAAAAATCAGTTATGGTACTATAAAGCATCCGTACAATGGTATTTTAGTATTTTAGTACTATATCCTTTGTAAATGACTGAATAAGATTAGTATCTGTATCTGATTTGTATAGAGTTCCAGTTTGCTAGCCTTCTTCCACTTCATTAATGGAACTAGGCATCTGTTATGTTCAAAAACTTCCACTGCCACTCATCGATTACAGCACAATATTAGAATTGCGGAGGGACCATCTTCCCATATATTTCTATTGAAACAATACACTTTCTGGAATTTGGTGCAAGTCATTTGTTTTTTAAAAAGAGATATCGCTAAAGTGTTTTTATGAAGTGCAATTGAGAAAACAACAAAAATTTGGAGGAAGTATCTTGAAAGATCCCCAGCCACAAATTCCAGTCTTAGCTAAAGTCTTTCCTTCTGCTAATGCATAATGCTTCAAAGTACTCATTAAAGTAGTAACAATTTCAGAGGAGAGGAACAATTGATATTGCTTCTTTATATCTTGCATTCTGTTTTGACTTTTGATAGTATGAGCGTGGAACAATGGGTCCATTTTAAGAACCATAAAAACAGAGAGCTATTTGAGATTGCAAAAAATAATCTAGTAATTCACTTCTACCTTGTGAGCAATTGATCATGAAATCTGCCCATGGGCATTAAATCAATTTATCAAGTTTTCTTTGTAGTCCTCATAGGTGCTTGCACCATTTAATTAGGGGACTGTGTATTGTTTTTATAAAAGTGAAATGTAATATATTGGGTTCTAATTTCTTTTGTGTATTTCATGGGCAGCTGCAGTTAGTTTAATTGCTGCTGGATCAGTGCTACTTCTACCTGAGACCAAAGGAAGAAACTTGCCTGACACCATTGAGGATGTAGAAAACTTCCATCGATACCATGCTAAACAGCTCAATTGAAAATAGTCAATTGGATGTGTCTTCTTTCAGCTGACTACAAATGGTACTTAGGCAAGCAGTGAAAACACTCACTTTATGGGGAAAGAGCCCTGATGAACTATACATACTTTTAGAAATAAACTAGCTAGAGCTTTAAAATGTCTGCTCAGTTCACACAGGAAACATGTCACACACATATAATCTATCTCCCTTGTCCCATCTAATCTGAACATATTCCCCCTTCCCCAGTTCTGTCACCTCAAAAAGAAATGGCTATTAAAACAGAACTGATAAAGTACTGGATGATTAAATGGGCACAAAATGTCAGACACAACATAGAATTAGATAAATGGGGAAAATGTGGACTATTCGTTTAAAGAAAAATTGCTGCTACATTCTTAGAGATTTTTTAAATAAAATGAATGGGTGGTTTGACCCCAGGAAAACTAAAATGTATAAGGGAAGAAACAACAAATGCTGGCAATGTAAAGAACAGGAAGGAATTTTCTTCCACATGTGGTGTTCCTGTAAAAAAGCAAGAGAATTCTAGGGCAAAATACAAAAAACGCTGCAATAAAGTTTTTATTCAAAGATACAATTGGAGCCCAAATTATTTTATTGGGAATGTCAAATAACCAAACAAAATTCACTAAACTATAAAGTATTACACTACATGGCCGTAGCAGCAAGAATATGTACAGTTCTTGAAGAAGGCAGACCTCCCAACAATAGAAGAAAGAATAGTCTTTAAAATAGCAGAAATTGATAAATTAGCAATGATGAAAAAAGAAAAAAAAACTTTATCAAGGGCTGGGAACCATTTCTAAACTATGTAAGAAATAAGAAAGAAGGAAAAGTTTTTATAGAATGCTTCAAAATTTAACCTGTTAGAATCTATGTAGGCAATTTATAAATAGTGATGGGAAGCCACTAAATTGAGAGAGGTGGGAGGAGAGGAGAGCATAACCAAACATAAATATTGTATAGATGTTCGAAAGTATTGTATCGGTTCTTGCATATATACATGATTTGTTTAATTGTTTTTTATGAATATGTAAATTGAAAATAAAACATATTAATTGTAAAAAAAGAAATGGTTAATGGTAATTTCTCTATAAGAAGACAAATTCAAAGGTTAGGATTGGTCTTTCATTTGAAAATGGTATAGATGAAGCTGTTTATGATGAAGTGAAATGTTTCTTAAGGACACTCCTGTATGATTGTACCTAATTTCTAAATGTCTTTGGTAAGAGAGATATTGACAAGCTGGAATGTGTCCAGAGGAGAGCGACTAAAATGATAAAAGGTCTGGAGAACAA